GTACTTTCTCCAACACTGGCGGCACCAAGACGAGCTGCGGCATCATAACGAGCTGTGGCATCATAACGAGCTGAGGCACCATAACGAGCTGTGACGTGAATGGTTGTGAACAGGTTAAGACAGGACAACGGGACAGGTGAGGCGTACCTTGGCGGAGCGGGTGATGGCGGGGATCTCGGAGTAGACGTCAGAGGATTGTGGGTAATTGTCCTCCAGCAGGCTGCAGGTGTGGTGCAGCAGTGAGTGGCGGTGGACGGTGTCCTTCACCTCCACCACCTTCTCCAGGTAACTCAGCTCAAAGCCTTTGGCCTGGATCAGAGAAGAGCCGCACTGGTGAGACTGGGAGCAACTGGGAGCAACTGGGAGCAACTGGGATGTTTCTTACATTGGAGCTGTTGAGGAAGTTGCCGATGGCGAGCAGCGTAGCGAGGATTCTCCTGAACGTCTGATTGGACGCCAGCTGCTCCATGCCCAGCTTCAGGTCGAACAGAGGCTCCGCGATCTCCTGCAGGGGGCGACAGCGCATCAGCGGGCCGGTGGAACCAGACGTGGAACTGGAGCCGTGCGCTCACCTTCTCCAGAACCTCGTAGTTGAGCTTGAAGGCCCAGAGCTGCAGGCGGGGGTTCAGGGCGCTGATGGAGGCCAGGGTGAGCAGGAACTGCTCTGCGGTTCCCAGCGGGAGGTCGGGGTTCGCCAGCTGGGCCTCCTGGATCTTCTGCTTCTCCTCTTCAGTCGGGATCATCGTCAGGATCTTCTGCTCACAACAGAGAGGCCGTGAGGTCCAGACCGGCCCAAATGGGTCAGAGCACCGGTCCGGCTGCATACCTCTACCCCTTCCTTGCTGATGGCGTACTCATCAAAGCTCAGGATGGCGTTCTTGATGACGTGGACAGCAGGAAGGACGGTCAGGCCGATGTTGATGGCGTTGCTCCGCTTTGGGTCCAGAACCAGAGACTTCTTGGGTTCTGGTCCCTTCTGCAGAGACACGTTAGAGACACAATAGGGACACGTTAGAGCAGAGGTGGCGCTAGATGTTTTTGTTCTCCGTCATTTTGACCGACAGTTTAAAAAAAATTGGTCATGTTCTATTTTTACCCGTCAAGTTATCATCACATTAACATCGGCTATTTAGCAGCATTTTTATGCAGTTTAGTTAATATTCACCCATTTGAACCGTGAATCCAGATTCCATCAGATAAATGCATCTAACTTTTTCTCCGTAGTGACAAAAACCACTGACTGTGGCCCCAATAACTTATAAAAAATTAAATTAAAAGACTCCACTTAAATTACCAGCACTTCCCCTGCTGGGGTCTTAACTCAGCTTCACAAATTCCTCCTGGTCGCATCTGCAGAGAAATCTGCGCTGGTTCATTGGACAGTTGGATCTGCCTGAACCAAACCAATCAGTTGAACTACTTTTTTACCCTGTGCAGCACTTTTATGAGGATTTTTTTTATTTATTTATTTTTTTTTTGCCTGGTTTCTCTTCCCCCAAACAGACAGATGTTACGTCTGCCGCGCTCCTGAGCGCCGCTCTCCTTCTGGGTGCGGGACGGTAAGGTCTTCAGCTCCATTTGTTAAAACCACAGGGTGAGTTAAGTTTAATTCTTTGCAGCGGCGGAGCCGCAGCGCACTGCACATGTTATGTCTGATTAACTTGTGCACCTTTATTTATTTCCTCAAGATAAACTGCCGGCTCCTCTGTTTAATCTAGCGTTTCTCAACCTTTTTGGGCCAGCGCCCCCCAGCCTTTATCCAGGTCCCTCACCGCCCCCCACCAAAGAATTTGTAGGCTGCTTTGCACTGACTATTATTATATTATTAATATTACTATCACTGTTGTAGATGTTTTGATTTTTATGCTTGTTTCTGTATTTATCATCAAAAATAATTTCCCAGAGAACAAAAAAGTCATGGGAATAGAAATTATTTTCACAGGCGTCTACGAAAAATGCAATGAACATTCAAGTTAAAATTGGTAGGCCTAACAGCAGCCAATCAGAGTGGAAAAATATTCTTATTTTGTGCCATTTTCTAGTTGTTAAATCTTGCACAAAATGATCAGATAAAAGATGAACAACATGCCAGTTTAAACTTTGAACTATTTGCAAATCGACTGAGCTCTGCAACATTAAAACATGGATAGAACTGTAACTACATTAATCATAGCTCTTCTTCTATTCAGTGTTTCTGTGAGTTTCTGGTGGTGCAGCTCTGTGCTGCCTTCAGGAGAATGGGACATCAGAGTATCATCCATAAAACTTCGCCCACATGGCATTTACTGTGCAAACCAGAGCTTTCAGTGGAAAAACAAAAGTTCCAGGTCCTTTAATGCCATAGAAATATGAGACAGAAACATTGATTATATCTGTCTATTGATTTATAGATTAATAGTTTTACTGGACAGAAATTACAAAGAACAACTCTGGTTCTTGATCAAATCCTAATGAGTCAAATTGAAAGTGTCATGGAGTCGTCAGCCTCATGACACTGACATGGAAAATAATATTGAAGAAATAAATATATCAAATCTAATTAAAAACATAAATAATTGATCAGTTATTTACTGTTATGGTCTGTAAGATATATTTATTCTCAGTACTAGATATGGTCTCAACAAACCCATGACATTTCAACAATATTATTTTACCTTTTATCTGGAAATAGTGTGTTTATTCTTGCCATACAGTCTCTGTATTATTGATCGAGAGGTCTTGCCATACCAGTTTATTCCTCTGTATTTACTTTAGTTTCTTAGTTTATTCTTGCATTTTCTTCTTCATTCATTTCCATTTAGTTTCCTTTGATTACTATTATCCTCTCTTAGTTTATTGCTATGTCCACTTTAGTTTCTTTCCTGTTGCTAGTTTTATTTTATCATTTATTGACCATCAGTAATCTTCATCCATCCCCTGCTGCGCCGCATAATCATCATGTTTCACATCATGTGTTGATTTTTCACTGTTCAGCGTCG